TTGCGGAGATACAGCCTTACGTCTGTTTTCGCAAGCGCTACGTAAAATTAGTTTGTGCGTTTATCGAAAACGGTTTGACGAATCAACTTGAATTCCATAACTTTTTGTCGGCACTGCCTGGAGATGATGTGGTGCAATTTTGGTGAAAATCGGACAAACCGTCTAGGACGAGTTCGCAAAAGTAGGTTTTTTGGACAATTCAAAATGGCGGCCATATTTTTATGACGGAAAATGACGTCATAGGGTGCAATCGAATCAACATGAGCTCAGGAATCAGAAGAAAAAAGAATTTCGTTGATAGGCTTTACGGTTCAAAAGTTATTAGCATAATAAAAGTGAAACTTTGGACAGGTGGTGGCGCTAGAGGCAATGAGTTAGAGACACCAAAATTGGTGCAATTACTGTTGGGACTGTCCTCTATCAGAATGTCAAACCGAAACAACTTTCCCGGAAACGGTTCTATGGGCTGCCATAGACGCCCAGTCGGAAGAAGAAGAATAATAATAATAATAATAATAATAATAATAAGAACCGGAACAGATACAATAGGTGCCTCCGCACCTTCGGTGCTTGGCCCCTAATTAGATTGAATGGAAGATTTTAACTGTGACGAGATGATTGACAGGGCATTTACGGTGATAGGATGCACGCGACAGAGCTGTCCGTTAAAGATGATGAAGTAGTATGTCCCAAAGCTTGCCTACTCTTTTGCTACACACTCAAAAGTATGTACTTTTTCTTCACAAAAAGAGTACATACTTTTAGGGCGTAGTATAAGTAGGCGAATTGGGCCCATGCTTCTCTCCAACCAAACATGCTCCAACTCTACTTCTCCCTGCCTTTTATCCAGAGGTGGAGTAGTCTGTAGAGCCCCCCGGGGCATGGTAGTGGCACTACAGCTTGAAATCATAGTCAAGTCACCTTCATTTATATAGCGCTTTTAACAATATAGATTGTTTCAAAGCAGCTTTACAGTGATAATAGGAAATGAAAGCAACAGAGATTGTTTTGGCTTTACAGCAGCTCTAGAATAAAGTCATTGTCCATCTAAAGTTAGTTTTGATTGATTCACTTCCGTCGCAACGATGATTAGTTATTATTAACTTAGAGGCCACTAACACGACACCGTTCGAACAGAAAACCCTTAATGCGCTCATTTGCACAAAACAGTGCCTGGTGGCTCGAGAACGCAAACCATGAAATGGGTTCCAAGGTACAAGCCTTGAAAAATTTATAATACAGAATTTTTTAGTGCTTCCCCATAACCACATGACCGCATAACCAGAATTAACCCGACAACATTTTATCTGTACAGAGGTAAAGGGAAGGGAAGGGAAGGAGGCCTTCACAGGGGAGAGACTAGTTGACACTTCAGGACTGCGTTGTCGTCGTATCCAGGCGCAGGTCCTTCATCAGATCTGGATACGGCCTGGATCGTATCTGGATAGTAACTGCTCTAAGGGCCGTTACAGCCTATCTTAACTTTAAGATTACTTTTATCATGTAAACTATACAGCATGTTTATAGCCAATGCATATGTGTGTGGGACAGTAGGAGAGGATGCATGGTCGCATCCAAGTGTGCCACATAAGTCCTGAAAAGTGAAGCCAAACCATTTTGAACGCCCCCTAGTGCCTGGCTGCAGTATAGGTCTTAAACCCCGCCCTCTCCATGTAATCAAATGTAAACCCAATTAAAAAATCCAATTACAGTTAAAAAAAAAATAATTCCCACACTTTGTCTTTTTTGTTAGTTCTTATAACCCAGACATATGTTCAAGTGATCCTTTACCCAATAAGTTTGGTTTAGTTTTTTGATGCTATGAAAACGGGGTGTAATGTCATGATTGACAGCTGTGCTTCCGATTGAGTCTGCGGGAGCGGGAATATGGGCGGGACATTGATGCTGCGGCTCCACTTCAGGATCACTACTGTGCAGACTCAGGCTCTGATTGATGTAATTGGCAACGACCATTGCTGGGATATTTTGGCATAATTTTTCTACATGATGAATCACGCAGCACCTGGTTGAATCGCAGCAGAGTATGCTGCTCATTACAGAAACCTGACAGAATGGACAATACTCATCTGTATTTTTAGTACCAACTTGCGGTTCAGCTATATGCGAAAAAAACTTCAAGTGTGAAAGCGTGTTACCTCCGGTCTGCTTGCGCATCCAGTGTGAAACAGACGTTACACACGCTCCGCCTATTCCTTTTTGCAAAAAAATTAAAAACAAAGGCTGCATTTACACTCACCGGCCACTTTATTAGGTACCCCATGCTAGTAACGGGTTGGACCCCCTTTTGCCTTCAGAACTGCCTCAATTCTTCGTGGCATAGATTCAACAAGGTGCTGGAAGCATTCCTCAGGGAGTTTGGTCCATATTGACATGATGGCATCACACAGTTGCCGCAAATTTGTCGGCTGCACATCAATGATGCGAATCTCCCGTTCCACCACATCCCAAAGATGCTCTATTGGGTTGAGATCTGGTGACTGTGGAGGCCATTTTAGTACAGTGAACTCATTGTCATGTTCAAGAAACCAATTTGAAATGATTAGAGCTTTGTGACATGGTGGAAGTAGCCATCAGAGGATGGGTACATGGTGGCCATAAAGGGATGGACATGGTCAGAAACAATGCTCAGGTAGGCCGTGGCATTTAAACGATGCCCAATTGGCACTAAGGGGCCTAAAGTGTGCCAGGAAAACATCCCCCACACCATTACACCACCACCAGCCTGCACAGTGGTAACAAGGCATGATGGTTCCATGTTCTCATTCTGTTTACGCCAAATTCTGACTCTAACATCTGAATGTCTCAACAGAAATCGAGACTCATCAGACCAGGCAACATTTTTCCAGTCTTCAACTGTTCAATTTTGGTGAGCTCTTGCAAATTGTAGCCTCTTTTTCCTATTTGTAGTGGAGATGAGTGGTACCCGGTGGAGTCTTCTGCTGTTGTAGCCCATCCGCCTCAAGGTTGTGCGTGTTGTGGCTTCACAAATGCTTTGCTGCATACCTCGGTTGTAACGAGTGGTTATTTCAGTCACTGTTGCCCTTCTATCAGCTCGAACCAGTCTGGCCATTCTCCTCTGACCTCTGGCATCAACAAGGCATTTCCGCCCACAGAACTGCCGCTCACTGGATGTTTTTTCTTTTTCGGACCATTCTCTGTAAACCCTAGAGATGGTTGTGCGTGAAAATCCCAGTAGATTAGCAGTTTCTGAAATACTCAGACCAGCCCTTCTGGCACCAACAATCATGCCACGTTCAAAGTCATTTAAATCAACTTTCTTCCCCATACTGATGCTCGGTTTGAACTGCAGGAGATTGTCTTGACCATGTCTACATGCCTAAATGCACTGAGTTGCCGCCATGTGATTGGCTGCTTAGAAATTAAGTGTTAACGAGCAGTTGGACAGGTGTACCTAATAAAGTGGCCGGTGAGTGTATACTGCAAGTCTTAATGCACAGGATCCGATCTTTTGACCATATCCGATTTTTTTGGTCCGTCTGTTTACATGGACAGGACTGATATCTGTGTTTACATTAATTCCCGCCCCAAAAAAAATTTGGTGATCATTTTACTATGCACATGGTAGACGTAGACCCTGGTTTTGAATGGCCGTGCTATTCAAATTATTTATATAATTCATGTAGGTTGGTCATGATTATTTGCCAGCATGGACAAAATAACAGCTGTCATGACTCATGAATATTTTGCAGCGCAAAATGTGATGGAACAGATATATATAGGAAATAATTTTAGTTTATCTACAGCTCAGATCTAGAATTCTGAAGTGAAATAAAGTAGCCCTTTAATATATTTATTAATGAATTCAAATGAATTAACCAGCGAGAGAGAGAGAGAGAGAGAGAGAGAGAGAGAGAGAGAGAGAGAGAGAGAGAGAGAGAGAGAGAGAGAGAGAGAGAGAGAGAGAGAGCGCGTGCAAGTGAGTAACTACTGATCACTACTGAAGCTTGATGGAAACATTCAGGAGCTGGTTTTCAACCTCTGCCCGTGACTTTTATGTGTTCGCGCAATTTCTTTCCCATCTCAATAAAAAGCTGTAAGCGTGCGCATACGTCTGCCTCATAATACAACATTAAAAAGTTATCTTTGTGAGTAAACGTGTAGTCCTTGTCTTGTGGTGGCTTGGAACTCAATGGGGAATTAGATATGTGTTTAGACGTAGTTCGGATGTTCAGATATCGGATATGTATCTGATTTAAAACCACATTTGGAAGTGACTCAGATCGGATGTGGAAAAATCGGATCTCGTGCGGATTTTTGTTTTTACACGTGTGCAACAAATTCCGATCTGTGTCAGATGTGAGTAAAAGATTGGATTTTTTTTTGTGCCAGTGTAAACGCAGCCAAAATCCCTATAATGAGGGGGGGGGGAAAAACTACAAACTTACAAGCAAACCCTTTAGTCTCCAAATTGATGTTTTGCCCATGCTCTGCTGCCAATAGAAATAGTTAAGAGTGTATACATTTGGAAAGACTCTCTGGACTTACCAATTAGTGTGAATACAATAATAATAGCAACAACAACAGTTGTTGTAATACGTTGTTGTAATACGGTTGTCATAAAAAATATAAAATGTTAATTTTCATTTTTTTTTTATGCATGACAAAGTAAATCTGTAAAACCATTTATTAAACATTTGTGTAGTTATATTAAGAACAAAACCCCAAAAGGAAAGTATTTGAAAGAGCAAAGTCTCAGTCTCATTGTTTGTTGCTGAGACTCTGAAATTCTAGAGTGCAGAATCTTCAAACAAACGGAAACTCCAAAAATAAACGCAATCATGCTCAATGAACAGATGTACATTCTCTGGCAACAGATAAAATATTTTGCGAACACATATACAAACATCTGGTATTTAGGGTTCAGCTGTACTCATTTATTTACTTTCACAACATTTTTTTTTATTCTACAAAAGATCATCTCTCGATAAGAAACACTGGGTTTTAATGCAAGTACACAACAATTTCCAAACTTTTAATCTCATAGGCAAATGACAAGAAAGTCCAGTCTAATCCATAATGAATATAAATACCTGAATTGCTACGTGGTAGTTCTTATTAGAGTCAACTTCAGGATCAGCTATTTATGTGCTGGCCTCAGTTTGCCCTGAGAGAATGTGGGTCATCTGCTGATCTGAGACCTGCTCCTGCTGGCACAAACCCATGGCCTGACTCAAGCAGGCCGCCAGGAGGTGCTTACACTAGAGAACACAGATATGGAAAACACATTTTAATAAAATGGCACTAAATAATGGTAAGAGAAGAGCTTTGGAGAAATAAACATGGAGGTTATACAACTGAACTATTCTTACACCAGTTTGGTTATATAAGAATGACACTGTATAGGCTCAAGGTCAGATATGTTTCAAACTAATATTTATTGTGTGTAATGAATGATAGTAAATGCACAAAGCACCCATCTGTTCTCAATTTACAGTCACTGGCACTGCAGTCATAAAAAATGCATCAGCGGGATGAATAGTCAAAGGATCACAATGAAGGAGAATATTAGTGCCGCCCAAAACGAGAGGATTGACAATGAAACAGCTGAAAGGGGAATAAAACATGCACTTAACAGGATGTATTACCGTGGCGGCATTATACAATGAAGCATTATACTGTACTTTCATCATTATTGACAATCATGTTGGTCTACATGCTTGACTGCACCTGGAATCTCCCCCTACAACCCAGACCCCCGATATAGAGCCTCACCAACCCACATCTGATGAGAATCCCACATCATGTTCTTCTGGGGTTTGCCAGAGAAGGCAGGTTTATCACATTGAGACGTTTTCTAGCGCATCAACTAAACTCTATTGCATTACACAGAGAACTATAAATAAACAAGGAAACCATTCTTCTAAGATCACATGGGTATAAAATGCATTTATATTTTGTTGCAGCTCGATAACAAAGGGAGGTCATGCTATCAGAGTGAAGCAGTGCATTTTGGGGTTGTCTCTGAATTTTGTTTCTCAGACTGGAGAACTAATTTTAGTCTCATTCCCTCCCCTGGGCTCAAAAGCAGGCTGATGCACATGCAACTGTGTGACAACAGATACTGGGGTCTCCTTTTGAAACAGACAGTCAATGGAGAAGACAAAACGGTAACACTTTACTTGAAGGGGTGTGCATAAGACTGACATGACACCTTCATAATCATGACATGACACATGTCAGGAATATGAAGGAGGTTTCATGCATGTTTATGACAACTGTCATTAAAGGAACAAGCCGACTTTTTGGGACTTTAGCTTATTCACCATATCCCCCAGAGTTAGATAAGTCCATACATATCTTTTTCATCTCCGTGCGTGCTGTAACTCTGTCTGACGCACCCACCGCTAGCCTAGCTTAGCACAAAGACTGGATGTAAATGGCTCCAGCTAGCATACTAATCCCAATAAGTGACAAAATAACGCAAACATTTTCCTATTTACATGTTGTGATTTGTATAGTCACAGAGTGTACAAATAACAAGGTCATATGAGACACAGCCATCTTTTAACCGTATAAATATTGAGAACTAAATTCTCAGAAGGCGAAGCACTGCTACTTGGGCGGAGTGATTACCGCAGCACCTGAGACGCACCGTGGTGAGGAGCAGAGAGTTCGTTCAGAGTTGGAGTAATAGTGAGTCAGCAATTACTAGATAGTAAAAGCATAGTTTACAATCATGGGTGTTCGCTGTATAGAGCTTGGGCGTCGTGACGTCATTACTTGGCGTGGCGGCCATGTTGACAGCTTCGCGAATGTAAACATGCAGCATGCAAGTCGAACGAGGAGAAGCAGCAGAGTTGGGAGAAAGAAAAGAAAAAAAGATGTTAAAATCCCTAAAAGGAGGTGGAATTTACCGGGATAAGTTAAATAGGGAAGCCAGGGACCGGTATGTGGACAAAATCGGCACTTTTAACGGTTTGGATCCATATGAAATTTCCAACAAACAGTGGGAACACAGTAATCTGGACAAAGGTAACTTTAAGATGCGCTCCACCTAGCTGCTAGTTTAGTAACCGTTACTGCTAACAACCTTCACACATGTACTTTTAACTATGTGTTTCAAAACTGTAGTTAGTAACGTTAGCTGTCAACCCTCCCGTTTTTTCCGGGTTTCTCATGTATTTGAGCTCTTTTCCCGCTGTCTTCCCGTTTTAGTATTTTCCTGTAAAATATCCCGTATTTTAATACTCTAATAACATTAACGTTAGCCCTTCCATCGGACCTGTCAGTCTCTGTACTGTTGTCCTGTTGCTACCCCCTTGCCCTAAGCATCGTTTTGCTTACTAACTTAAGTTTTGCTTAAAACAGCTACTAACTACACTTGAAACACATAGTTAAAAGTACGTTACATGTGTGAATGGTTGTTAGCACTAACTGTTACTAAAGTAGCAGCTAGGTGGAGCGCAGCTTACTTTTGTCCGGATTAAGTTACTGTGCTCCCACTGTTTGTTGGAAATTTCATATGGATCCAAACCGTTAAAAGTGCCGATTTTGTCCACATACCGGTCCCTGGCTTCCCTATTTAACGTATCCCGGTAAATTCCACATCCTTTTAGGGATTTTAACATCTTTTTTCTTTTCTTTCTCCCAACTCTGCTGCTTCTCCTCGTTCGACATGCTGCATGTTTACATTCGCGAAGCTGTCAACATGGCCGCCACGTCCCAGAATGCAACGCGGCGCCCAAGCCCTATTGTAAAGAGCTGCGACAATAAACAGGGGAGACCAGGTAATACCATGATGTTTCATAGAATTCCAACCAAAAACGCTGACCTGATGAATCAATGGCTAAGTTACTTGCTCTGGATATAACGATAAGATCCAAACACACCTGAAGAGATCATCAAGGACCATCGTGTTTGCTCAGTACATTTCACTGAAGACGACTATTTTGAAAAAATGGAATTTGCCACACGGACCATGAAACGTGTGCTGAAGGATACGGCCATCCCATCGATAGCACAGACAGGACAAAGTGGATCACCTGCGGCTGCGGTAAGTGTTCCGTTATGTTTTTAGATGACTAGCCTACTGTAACAGTGCCATTAGCCAGATCTAATGTAACGTTAATGACACTATTATATGAATAGGGTGGTCAGTAGCCTACCCGTACTGGCCAAGGTCACTATTTCTCAAAAAAAAAAAAAAATCCGATTCATTAGCAAGGTGAAGGCTACAGTCCCGAGTTTACCTCTTGCTCCGCTCATTTGTTACTGGGGCGATAGAGCGCGTTCGTGACAAAACAATACTAACATTAGGGCCTGCTCACATATAGCGTCTTTTGCGCCCTCAAGTTCGTTATTTCAAATGTAGGCGCGCGGTATGCGCGCTCATAATGGAAGCGACGCGGTCGCGGAGCGATAGGGATCGCGTTACCGATCGCGTTTTCAGGGATACATGGAGACCAGGAACAACTGCAATAGTACTGTCTTTGGGTTCATTGTGCAAAAACCATTTGCCTTGTGCAAGTTGTGCTATTACTTTCCCCTTATTCTAGCCTATTGTAATGCAATTATCTAACATTACTGTATGCTGTTGAATACATTTGGTTCAGCTGTAATAAATTGCATTTAAAATATATCGATTCATGTAATAATAATTCGTGTTCTGTGATATTTATTAATCAGGATGCGTTTTTGGTTGGAATTCTATGAAACAACATGGTATTACCTGGTCTCCCCTGTTTATTGTCGCAGCTCTTTACAATACAGCGAACACCCATGATTGTAAACTATGCTTTTACTATCTAGTAATTGCTGACTCACTATTACTCCAACTCTGAACGAACTCTCTGCTCCTCACCACGGTGCGTCTCAGGTGCTGCGGTAATCACTCCGCCCAAGTAGCAGTGCTTCGCCTTCTAAGAATAGTTCTAAATATTTATACGGTTAAAAGATGGCTGTGTCTCATATGACCTTGTTATTTGTACACTCTGTGACTATACAAATCACAACATGTAAATAGGAAAATGTTTGCGTTATTTTGTCACTTATTGGGATTAGTATGCTAGCTGGAGCCATTTACATCCAGTCTTTGTGCTAAGCTAGGCTAGCGGTGGGTGCGTCAGACAGAGTTACAGCACGCACAGAGATGAAAAAGGTATGTATGGACTTATCTAACTCTGGGGGATATGGAGAGCCAACTTTAGCCGGAAATAACATTATTCAAAATCGCTATAAAGCCAAAACAATCTCTGTTACCGTAAATTGTATGTTTATCTCTGTAAAGCTGCTTTGAAACAATCTCCATTGTTAAAAGCGCTATATAAATGAAGATGACTTGACTTGACTTGACTTGAATAAGCTAAAGTCCCAAAAAGTCGGCGTGTTCCTTTAACCCATAAAGCTAAGTGGTTTCTTAAGTTTGATAATTAATCTGCTATGTCATGTTTATGACATATTTATGACAATTTATGTTGTCTTGGTAATTTCAAGTTGTCATTACCAAGACACTGACAGGTTATGATGTATTGGTTTATGTCAAGTTGTCATAACAAAGACATCTAAAACAATGTCATATTTGCATTCAAAATGTCATAATTGAGCGAATGACACTTAATGACAGTTGTCATAAACATGCATAAAACCACCTTCATATTCATGACATGTGTCATGTCATGATTATGAAGGTGTCATGTCAGTCTTATGCACACCCCTTCTAGTAAAGTGTTACCGAGAAAACCTGGAAATAACCAAAGCAACAGGGAGCTGAAGAAGAGAGTAAAGGAAGACGCTTAAAATGAAAGCAAGCGAATAAAAAAGTAGAGTTGCTACTAGGATGTTTGACCACAAATCTAGTAGCGTCACTATAAATACTGGGGTTCCACAAGGATGTGTCTTGTCACCCATTTTATTTTCCATATACACAAATGAAATCATATGTGGAATTAAGGGTATTTCACTTTTGAAATACGCAGACTTTGGTGGCTTGAACCACTTAAGTTAGGGGAACAGGAAGTGGAACAGGTTGAATCCTTTACATATTTGTACTGTGATTGACAGCCGACTGTCCTTTGCACAACATGTGAACTGTGTCTGCAAGAAGGCTCATCATTGTTTATTTCTTCTGAGACGGTTGAAAGGATTTATTGTTAGACAGAACATTTTGACAACAGTGTATCGGTCACTTGTGGAATCAGTCAAGACATTTAACATTGTTTCTTGGTATAGCTTACTTTCAGCTGAAAATAAGAAAAAAATATCAAGAATTATGGTAACACTTTACAATAAGGTTCATTAGTTAACTACATTAGTTAACATTAACTAAGAATGAACAATACTTCTTCAGCATTTGTTAATCTTTGTTAATGTTAATTTCAACATTTACTAATACTTTATTAAAATCTTGTTAACATTAGTTAATGCACTGTGAACTAACATGAACAAGCAATGAACAGCTGGATTTGTATTAACTAACGTTAACAAAGATTAACAAATACAGTAACAAATGTATTGCTCTTGGTTAGTTCATGTTAGTTAATACATTAACTAATGTTTAATAAATGAACCTTATTGTAAAGTGTTACCAGAATTATTAAGCAGGCATCTAAGATTACTGGGATCTCGCAGCTTCACCTCTCAGACCTTTATAATATGGCAGTAAAGAGGAAAGCAGCTTCTATTATTACAGACTCCACACACCCTCTTTATAATTCTTTTCATCTACTTCCATCAGGTTGCCGGTTCAGAACTCCCTTAGCTAGGAAGAAGGCTTATAGGAATTCGTTTGTGCCCAAAGCAGTGACTATATTAAACAAGGTCATGTGAATGTGTATGGGTTGCAGAATTGTGCACAATTGTAGTTTCCATTTAAATTTTTTTAGATGTCTGCTTTAATAATGAATTGTATGTTTATGTTTACTGTTGAATTGTATGTGTTGTTGATTTGTATTAAATAAGAGCTTTTTAACCTAAGAAAAATTTATATTACCAGTGTGATAGACAATAAAGTTTTTCTAAATTCTAAATATGTATTTGATGACCAAATTGTTAACTTTGATTAACAAATTAAAAATTATATAAAAAAAAAAATCTATATCTTTTCAAATGCATGTTAAATAATGTAAGTGCAAAAAGGTTTTTAAACACAATTAAACACAATCACTGGACAACTAATTGGTAATAATATTAGTTGTCAACTATTTTTTAACATCCATTTCCCTATTGTCTTATTGCTTATGGTTTGATATCAGCCCTACGAGCAGAAATAGGATGAGGGTCTCGGGGGTCTGTGAATGCAGCTGTGTGGTTGTGTGTGAGAGTAGAAAGAGGAAGTGACCTCACCATCAGACTCTCATTTCTCCTAAGCACAGAGAAAGTGAAGGCGGGGCATGGGCAGTAGTGACAGGACGTGAAGCACGTGTACAGATGCCCTGATCCACCTAATACCTGTTGGAGAGATAACGGAGAGAGACACAAAACTGAAATGTGAGATGAGTATTATGCTGAAGTGCCAAAAATACTTACTTTGATTTTACCGTGTCAAACAATACAGGCAGACAAACAGTCAGATTGCCCTGTTAGGTCTCTATGGGAGTGAGTTACATGTATGTATGTATTACCATGCCTTTTCTACTTTCATTTAGGTCAATTTAAGGAAAAGTGTATGTTTTATGTGCTGTAACTATCACAGGTTCACCCAAATTCTTCACCCATTTCTGGATTACTCTCTCTCTTGGATTTTGATTGTAGACTTGCGGATTGCCTTGCTGTGATTTCCTGTGTATTGAAACTGAGCCAGAATTAGACAGCTTCTTTGTCTTTTTGTCTTCTGATTTATGACATTAATAAACTGCACATGGATCCTACTTCTAAGACTCCGTCACAGGAATTATATATTTTGAGGAATATCTCAGTGTTCTTTTGTTCATTCAATGGAAGTTATTGGGCTCCAGTCTCAAACTATATTTCTTTAAGTTCCACAGAAAGAAAGTCAAAGGTTTTGAATGACATGAGGCATGAGGGTAAGTAAATGATGAAAGAATTTTTATTCTTGGGTGGACTTCTTACTTCCATGTAATAGTCCTGCATAGTGACACATTTTTAGAGAACAAATATTTCATGTAGTCTCTCAATATGAAATAATAAAAAAACAATGATAAAATAAACAAATAAAAGAATTAGAACTAATTAGAATAAGAATGTCAAGCTTGACATTTCAATAAACCATTTACTGCTAACTCAATGCAGAACTGCACTCAAAAGGCTATTGCACTGCCGATTCCCTTCAGAGGCAACATGACATCATGACTTTGCGTAAACATACACGCCACTTTCAAGTCAAGTGGCGTGTTATCTATACGCATTTTGAGCTATCCGCGTGTATGTCCACGCCGAAACGAACCGTCATCTTTTGCGTGTATGTCTACGCCGTTAAATGTCCGAGTGATTCCGCGTGTATGTACACGCCGTTAAATGTCCGAGCGAAACGAAGCAAAATGTAGATCTACATCTGGGGAGCGATATTTTTTTCCCTAGGATGGTAGGGGAAGACTCATAAATGGTATTAACCCCAGTGACGGGTAGGTTTAGGGACGGGGTTGGGGTAGGTCATATATTTATATATACAGTAATATAATGTTAAGTCAACGGCGTTGATAAACACGCTGAAAAGCGATTATGCGTGTTGATAGCACGCCAAAAATGGAAATACGAATTGGCGTGTCATACATACGCCATTTCATGAGATCAGTCTGTCAGGGGTCTGTCAACAGATCTGGGCTACGTTTGAATTTGAATTTATTTATTTTAAAAGGGCCAATGCACATTAATTAACATGAGCACTCAGGTCCATCATGTAAATGCGGCAGATTTAGCAATACAGGCTATTTTTCATCTGTAGTCCCTGAAGCAACTGTGTGACGTTGTCTCTTAGCGCGCTCTGAAGACTCTTAAGGTATAACTTAACTAAAGGTTTACCATTTCTAGGCGTGTTCCCCGGCCCGAACCATACCTTAGGAAGCTGCTTAAGATATACCTTCTTACTTGCGACGTTACCAGGTGCTGTCCGTGGCGATGGTGCTGAATTGGTTGATATCGATGGCTCCAGAATCAATTATTCACTCGTGCAGGTGCTGCTTCACTGCATTATGCGAGAAAGCGGTGTTCTTTATAAAAGAAGCACTTCAGAAATAGTTGAAATTGCATTTATTAGGACTCATGGGATATTATAAAAAATAATCCAAACTATAATAGCCTAGCCTACATATTTTAAAATTGTATCATATATTGCTGCCACAATAACCATTTCAAATTTTTACGTGCTTTCTTCTCTTTCCCAATTTTGTTCGCTGAGGTAGAGCTGTGATGAAATGATGTTCTTGTAAATACTTTCCAGCATTTCAGTAATAAAAGTGTACATCTTACGTACGGTGCTCGGCAGTGATCAAAAAGGATTTAAACAGTGAATTTTGAATCTCTTTTTGTAAACTCAGAGATGTGGATTCAGACGGCAATTAAATTACCACACGACCTGTTTGTCAAAAAACAGTAGGTAATTTGGCCAGGGATTTTTACACGGGTTGGGTGAGAAAAAACACTGACATTATGGATTCGGATGGCAATAAAATCACTGACTTACCCCTGTAAATGTTTAAAATACCGTACGAGCCCATGAGAAACGATTAGCGTCCGAATAGGACTTAACTGACAGTATGCTTTCACTGGCCTTTGAAAGTGCTCCGCAGACGGCACCGTCTTTTGGAACAACTATTCGCTGTATCGCTGCCATAGTTTGAGCAAACTCCCCACCACAATCATTCCCTTTAAATAGACTATTAAGCCTTTAATGGTTTGCAGCTGATGTACCTTTGGATAATATAATAAAAAATCTAACAACAATCTTATTATTTGCATGATAACACTTGAATTAGCCTAATTGAACACTGTCTGGGTCATAGACTGTAAAAAAAAATGCACAAAGCGTCTGTGACGTCACCCATAGACTTTCTGAATAACGGTTTTGAGGCCGTTTATGGGGGGTAAGGGCGGTGCCATCTTTTGAAAATCTAGGGAAATCCTAACCCCGCCCACCTTCTGGCCAATCCATATATGGGTAAAAGGGCGGGCTTTGTGTGAGACTGAGCCGGCCGGTGGATGCGCCTCTTCAGCCAAGCAGCCTCAGCTATCTGTAACGTTACAAGATCGACTGGCAGACTAGGCTACTTTTTACAGTCTATACTACATTCACTGTCCCCACCACTTTTTGCCAGGGTCGATATTGTCCCCACCAATTTTGAACTCAGGTGGGCGCTTTAATCCGTTGCGGAGACTCTCTATTCGTTCTGGTGAAATCACAAAGTAAAATGCACACAAACGTGTCCCTGCTTGATATACAACCATTGATAAACATAATCGGTTTTAATGAGAGAGAAAAAAACAAAAAACTATACGAGTGCAGATTAGAACCCAGAACCTCTGACACGCTTGGCAAAAGTTCTGCCACTGGACCATTAAAGTGCATGCATGTAATTGTCGGATTTATGTATTTCTTCACGTGAAAATTCTCACCAACAACGACATATTAGATCTCATTAAAGGGGTCATATAATGGTACATGCACTTTTACAAGTTGATTGTACTGAAATGTGTGTTGGCAGTGTCTGTACACAACCATCATATAATGATAAAAATCCATCCAGTGGTTTTGTTTTAATCTCCTTATATGTTTTCCCCTGCCTCAAATCGAGCCGTTCGAGCCTGTGACGTCACAAGCTCGCACGCCCCTCCCACGATTGTTGAATGACAGCCGCGTTTCAACACAGACCTGCCCTCGCTCATGAGGGAGCTGTCAATCATAGTCTGCGCGGCGCGGCGCGGACCGGCGCGGTCATTGTTGATATGCTGGAGCACTGTCTATGAGCAGAATGGCGTCTAAGCCAGTGTTTCCTCTAGGATTTTTTCTAACTGTGGTGGCAGGCCCATTTCGGGAGGGGGCGTGGCCCATGAGTGTTATTCCCATTGGCCACGCCCCCTTGCCCCAGGTGTTCAAACCTCCCCTAAGTATTATGAAAGGCTTCAATAAGAGCGGCAAAGCGATTATGCGCATCCCGTGCGCAGAATGAAGCTCTTGAAGCAACGCAAAGTCACAACGCGAAGTCACAGCGCGGCGCGCAGCGCTTCGCATTGATTGAAAAGTTCAAAGCACAAACCGAAGAGAAGAGACTATCTATGCAACAGTTTATTGAGCCTTTTCTTTTAACAGTTTTAAATTTCAGTTACAGTGCGCATGAAGAACAATTCATAGCGCTCTTTACTCCAGTGCTGTAATCTAACAGACACCCGGGAGAAAGGAATATGATTTAGAAAGCGCAATACAGTATAAACAGATAAAGTCATTTTATGCAAAACATAGATCTTTATCTACAAATAAAGTATAATAATGGAAACATTGATCTTGAAGAGAGTGTCGTCGTGTTACTGTGGTACCCGAACGCGACGCGCTGTTTGAATGCTGAATACATGGAGAATGACTGAGGAGAGATGAGTTTCCATTAACTTTAACTTAACGACTTAAATATTCGTTTTTACCTCACATTATGCTATTGAAAGACTTTAGAAGTCTTGGAATATAGTGCGAAAACTTTATGGTGCTTTACACTGTTTTTTTTGTATGCCTTTAGTGGGGCTTAACAATAACACAGTAGTATGCACAATATCGGACCTCACTGAAGCTGCAGCCGTGGCGGGAGGTTTTTAGGTGTGGCGGCCCGCCACGGCAGAATGAATGTAGCGGAAACACTGGTCTAAGCGATTGTGGTGTTCTGTTCTTGGGTGTAATAACGAACACAGCAGTCATTTTAATGTTTCTAAATCCAAACCGCTGAAGACGCAGTGGCTGTGTTTGTTTTCGAAGGGAATATTCCCCACGAGCAACGTCAATGCTCTCATGTTTGCGCGAATCATTTCACACACCAGACTGCTTTATAAAAGAGGATCAATATAAAGCTGGATTTGCTAAGAAGCTGCTCATGAAAAAAGATCGGTACCAGATATTCGTGTTCCTGCTGAATCCCCAGAAGAACGGAAGTGAGTGTAACGTTTTATTAAACTTTATATTAATATATTAATCTTTGCAAATCGCTAGCTGCACGCTTCACAATGAATGCGTCTAAGGTTTACACTCAGGGTACATTACGGCATGTTTTCTATGTATGACGTTCTCAATATAATTCATAATCCCACGTTTATACTGAACAACGCGTTATGGTTATTGTGTTATTGTGTTACAAATGGTGTATGCACAGAACAGAGAGGCGGGGTGAGCAAAGCTCATTATCATTTAAAGTCATATGCACTGAAACGGCGTGCTGAAAACAGAGCTGTTTTTGACCAAGTAAAATAAGTGTTTTCTTACAATACTAATGAGAATTTTTAATTAAAGTATATTA